GGAATAAATTTTACTACAATTCGGAATAAATTTTACTACAAATCAGAATAAATTTTACTACAAATTGGAATAAATTTTACTACAAATCGGAATAAATTTTACTACAATTTTGAATAAATTTTACTACAATTCAGAAAATTTTGTCACAAATTTACCATAATTCAGAATAAATTCACTGCAATTCGGTAAATTTATGAATAATATTTTTTAAACAATTCGGATTAAAAATACTAAGCAATTCAGATACAATTCAGACATTCTGATCGGCATCGATCGGCCTGCCAATCAGAATTTTGCCTAAATTAATAAATCGGCCATATTTATCACCAAATTCAGCCTAAAATCGGACATCCGATTTCTAGCCGATTTGGACTATTTCGACCAGTGTCTTTTACTGTAATTTAATAATCAATCATATAGTCACAATTACTAATTTAATATTTAATAGTTTTTATTGTAAAAAATAACATAACCATAATTATTAGTGAATTATTTATTGTGTAAAATTTTATTAATTGTCCGGAGCGAAGCGAAGGACTATATATGTCTACGCACTATGATGATCTATGGAAATAACGTGTAAATTTTCAATCACGTGAGTTTCTCTGTCCAGGAATTCCAAGGCGTTATGCTGCTAATCAGCAGAAAATTACCAGAATTCCAAGGCGTTATGCTACTAATTAGTAGAATATCGCTAAATCTTTATTTATTATACCTCGCTCCGGACTTACAACGGTTCCCGTTTCCTAGTATATATATAAAAGGAATGTTATATAATTTGAATATAATAAAATATTAATTTTTTTATTTATTGTTTGAATCATTTTTTTACCACTCAAATAAATAAAATTAAATGACAAAATTCTCTAATAAAAATTTTACTTCAATATTTGTAGTATTTATAAGTAAAACTCAATTTTTTTCTAATAAATACTTTATCCTCTTCTTTATTTTTTTCAAAATGGATATCTGTGAAGCTGTTTCTTCTATTTAAAATAAAAATAAAATCAATGTTCATGGCTATCTCATAGTTAAAGACAAAAAAAAAAACAACTCATATTATTGGTATTGTGAAAAATGGGATCAACTATAATGCAATAGACAAGCTACAATTATGTTTACCAAAAATTAACATCATCTTGTAAAGTTTACAGATCATAACTATGCTGCAGATATCTTTACAACATCTAATAATATCAACTATCTGTTTCAATTATCCTTTTAGATAATGGACGGTACTTTCAAAACTGTTCCAACAAGTTTTAAACAACTCTATACAATTCATGAAAGTGTCGAAAGTAGTGAAAACTCTCAAATTATGCCTCTTGTGTTTTCACTAATATCAAGTAAATTAGAGGAGTGCTATAAAGCATTGTTTTAAAATTTAATCAACTTTGATGATGAACATAATATTGATCTACAACCACAGTATATATTAACAGATTTTGAAAAAGCTTCAATCAATACAGTTCATATAGAAATACATGGTGTTCAAAATAAAGGCTGCCATTTTTATTTGTTCTAAAATGTATATTATAAAGTGCAAGCATTTGGCCTTGCTTCTCAATATGCAAGTGATAAAAATATTAGTTTATTTGTTAGATATATCCCAGCACTTGCATTTTTGCCTTGTAATAATATTCCAGCTGCATTTGATGAATTAAGGAGTAATATGCCATTAAACATGTTACCAGAAGTCAATGAACTTTTGGATTGGTTTGAGATTTATTATATTCATAAAAAGGTAATTCATAGATTAAGAAATGGAAATGTAGTTTGTTCTGAGCCATTATTTCCACCATCTTTATGATCAATCACTGAAAATATAGAATATACATTTTCAAAAACATAGAATTTAGCAAAGGTATGGTATAGGAGATGGAAGACATTGGTGGGTCATACACATGCATATGGGATTATTTAAAATCATAAAGGAGTTGCAAAATAAGCAGTATTAAATTGAGATTAAGGTTGAGTTAATTCTTCGAGAAAATTTATGACTTAAGCAAAAAAAACATAATAGAGAATATGAAAACAGAATCCAGGTGGTTTATAATGATCAGAAAAATAGACTATTATTGAACTTTCTTTGAGGAATAACTCATAATATTTCATTTTAATTAGTTTATATATTTATATTTTATTCATTTTATGTATTAGAAACATTAAGCATAAATTTTTATCAGTGTTAATATATGATATAGAATTTCTAAGATATATATAAATATTTTAATTACATAAGCATTAAATATAATAGTATTATGAAATTATATATTAAATATAGAAAACAGCTAAATAAAATAAAATTTCACAATAATGAATTTTTTATAATGCTATTTTTTTTGTATTTTTTTTATTAATATTTTTAGTTGTTGGTGAAATGATCCTGTCAGTGAAATGATTTTGTTGATAAAATGATTGTCAGTAAAATAACTGTAAGTGAAATGATCCTGTCGGTAAAATGACTGTCAGTAAGTTAATTGTTAGTAAGATGATTTTTGGTGAAATAAATGCGTTCTCTCAATAGTGTTACCTAAAATTTCAAATGAACAATCAGTAAATATAACGAAAATAAATAATAGAAAATTCATGATAAAATATATTATATATATCTATGTTAATAAAAAATATTATTTGATCAGAAATGCCTTCATTCTTAATCAAAGTATTTATAGTTTTCTTTGCCCTAAAATTGATTTTTTATCTCTTACTTCAGAATTAAAGATCAGCACATTATTCATAATACATGAAAAATTCAACCTTTTTTGACTCCCATTGACAGTATGATTCAATCTCAATTTATAATTTTTATAAAATTGCCAAATCCCTCAGAAGGTTACCGATTGTAACATATAGTATTCCAATACTATAGATTGTGCCATCAAAAAGTTGAAACTAATCCAAATTTAAAATCAATCTGAAATGCAAATCAGCAACATAATCAGATCAAAAAAATTATTCAAACTTTTATCTGTTGTTTCTTTAAAAGTTTTCCAAACTTCACCATTATGCATATATATCAGTTAGAATATTATCAAAAATTGGATCATTTATCTAATGCCTTAAAGAACTTTTGATGTTTTACATAAGACTACAATTGGAATATCATCAGCTCTAAATAGTAAAAAAAGATTAGCTCTTCAACATTTTTTCCTTTAGAATTAACAAAAATACTTAAATCTAACTTACAATCTATAGAAAATTCATTTGCTAAATGACTATGCTTACTATTATCATTTATACCTATAAAATTAGTAATTAGGCCTAATGATTTTTTAAAAGTGGCATTATGTAATAGCAATGTTAAGTTAGCATTTAATACTGGTTCAGTCAACTTAAATGGATTATTATCGGTTATTTCAAGCCACTCGTTAGCTGTAAAGGTATTATAAGCTGAATTTTTGATTGTCAATCATCATGATCGTGAAAAATGCTTTGTAACTTGTTCTTCTGATCGTATTAAGAATTAGATGATGTCATCGATTATACAAGTAGAGCTAATTCAGAACTATAATTGATGCCAAAGCCCTAATGTAATGAAAAAAAATATATTAATAAATATGCGATAAAATATTTTGAAATATTTAATTAATACTTACAGTAGATCAAAAGTATCATGCCATATTTAGTTTTTTAATACTGTGTTTTATATTATAAAGAGAGTTGGTTTGAAATTGTCTAAATTTTTTTGTGACATTGATTTCACCAACTTTTCACTAAAATACGAAAATAATAATTATAATTATATAACAACAAAAATAAAATTTTGATTTATAACATACTTGAACTTTAGATTTTATTTTCAATTATTTTTCAAGATTATCAAAATAATAATTTATTCAGTCATCTATAACTTTCTCAACTTCTTCACCTGAGGTAAAATCATCAGATTCATTATTGTTGAATTTATTACTGATACTGTACACAAATATACGAAGAAATGTTTAATAAATATACGGGCACTGAAAAGTTTAAGCGATCACTATTAATAAGATCAAAAATCTATCTTGAAAGGTATTGAGATTATACTTTTCGTCAAAATGATAAAATACTAATTAAATTTATTTTGACAGACGTAATGTATTTTGACAGACGTAATTAATTTATAGTAATTTTATAATAAATAGTGAATTGATCCGTTCGCCAAAATACGACATAATTAATTAGCGGAGAAGTATAATTGAGATATCTCAAAAAGAGTTAAATTACATGGAAATGGCATAATATCACCATCATGATAAACTCTTTTTGCCATCTGATCTTCATTATAATCTCATGGCTATTTCTTTTTTTTTCGCAAATATTAAAGTACTTTAATTTGACTCATTCTAAATTAATGTTCCAATCCAATTAGCCGCTATTCAGATTTTTTGACGGATATCCAGATTAGAGATATGATCCGGTCATCCGGAATCCTGTCATCCTATCAAAATCCGGATTTAAGCTACAATCCGGATTGAGTTTTTTTGAAAGGATGATATACGTATTACAAAATTTTGACAGGATTTTCATCAGATCATCCGTATAAATCTGTTCAATCTGGTGAATATGATTGGTTAATTAATATAAATTTAAATTCCTAATCAGCAGTAATAAAATGCATGTATTTACTATACAAAGAAACTAAGAATGCAATACACGATGCAGAATAAATGCACAAAAATTACGCATTATCTATTTCTACTTACAATCTACATAAATATATAATAAATAATAATAATGACTGAAGTTGAAGGAACTCATGATAATAGTGACACAGAAATTGAGCAACCAAACCAAAAAAGAATAAAATTAAGGGTCCAGTATATTACGTCATCATTTGTATATGACCATATGACGATCATTTTATATGATCACGTGACCACGAAATTGACGAGAAAACTCTTGGAAAAATAAAATATTTCCCAACCTACCATATGAATTTTATTAAATATACGTTCAAATAATAAATATAATGCATCCTATCTACATTTTAACCATTTATAAATATTTCTATATATTTTATTGACAAAACTTAATGAAAATACCATTTGCTTGATTGATATTGTACATAAGGTTGCTTGTCTAAACCTCTTCAAAATCCTACGATTAGTTTCATCAAAATTTTACTATAGATTTATTATAGTTTCGGCAGAGTTTCNAATAACGGAATACCACTAAGATCAGCTAGTTCCGCTGAGCAACAAAATCAATTTAGTCAGACTCAACAAAATTTAGTGAGTAGAGGAGTTGGTTTTAATTCCAACCAATCAATCTTATCTAATAGTACTTTTGAAAATGCGAGAACTTCTACACCATCTGGAACTGATTTATTTGGGCTAAATTTTAGCACGAGTAGTTCAACAATGTCGTCTAATGAATTTAATGGTTTGAATAGTGGGTTTGGTGGTAGAATGAATTCTTATGAGGCTAGAGCATATGATGGAAGTCTTATTTCTAATACATCTAATATTCCATTTAGAACCAACAATGCTGATAATAATCTAGTAAGTAAAATCATTTAAATACATTTTTTTCGATTAAAGCTGACTTTTTTTTTGAATAAAAATAATTTCCAGTTTGGTGTTAGTATGCAGCAAAATTCAATTGTTTCACCTGAAATGATGGCAAATCGTCAAAATTCTTTGCCAAATTTTGGAAATGTAACTTCAATATCATCATTTCCATTGATTGAAAACACAAATATGTCATATACTTCTATGAATACTACGTCAGATCATGGAATTGGACAATTACAACAAATAGTACCTTCAGGTTTTGGGACACAACAAATTAGTCCATTTTCGAATGGGCGACCAAATCAATCAAATGGACTATTATCTCATCAACAAAAAAATTTAATTAATAGTATTACTAATCAAAATCAAAATCAAAATCAAAATCAATCGAACAATAATAATCATTTATTTTCTGCTGTTAATGGTAATGGGTTTATGAGTAGTACTACAAGTACAAATTTCGGATGGCCAAATATGAACCATTAAGAAATTTTAAGTAATATAATGGTTTGGATTGTATAATATTAGTTTAGTAATTAATTTTTGTCCCTTTTTTTTTTATTTGCAATAGACATTGAATCTTAATACTTTTATAGATCATTACAATCACATTTATAATATTTATATCTATTTGTATTAAAAATAAATAAATTCTGAAACATATATATTAAGTAATCTATAAAATTATTTTGAATTAAATCAATTTTCATTTTTTAATTTGTTATATATTCCTGAATTTACAAATATAAATATTTTATTATAAAAGTAAGGAGTAATTTTATTTAATCAAAAAAATTTTTTAATTATTAAAGTAAACAAAATAAACTTCCAATAATTAATTGATTTGAAAAATCAAAACTAAAAAATTTACTTCAAAAAACTGCAAGTAATTTATATATATTTAATTTATAATAATACTGTATATCAACTTATTTTGCAAATTAATATTAACATTTAGGTATTTAATTAATAGTAATTAAAAAACTAAATTTTTTTTTTTTTTTTTTTTTTCTGCAGCGCATTTGCAGTTTTATTAAAGTAAAAAAATAAAAAGATATATACAAAGTAAAATTTCCTAATAACTACTCTAATATAATTAAACTACAAACTACTCGTTATACCGGTAGTACCCTACGTGTGCACTGTCAAGTGATCGTTTGACTCTGTAGGTAGACTTCATTTAGTAACGGGTCATCTTAACCTAAAGACCCTATCTTCAATGTCTGGTGATCACGGGACCCAAATCCTGAATTTTAACTTCATGAAGTTATCCTTTCGGTTCAATATATTTTATATCCCCATACAGCTGATC